AGTACAGGTAAAAACCTAGAGTTAACCTTCTCCAAGCACGTGGAAATGTATTGAAATAAACATTTGAACACCATCAATACCCCAGTGGGTAAAGGGGCAAAGGGCATGGTTATGTGATTTGTGCCCAGGAACGTAAGTAATAAAATTTGCAAATAGTTTACACCTAATAGAGGGGCCAGTGAGATGGGTCTGCAGGCAAAGGAACTCTCTATGCCAGCCTGACAACCTGAGTTCCAAGTCTGACCCCTGGAGCCCACCTAAAGATGGAAGGAGAGAACAAACTCCACCCAGCTGTCCTCTGACCTCCACGTGGGCACCATGGCATGTTGCTCTCCATCATGTACATGCACACATATACACACACATACACTAAACAAATATTTAAAGACTAAATAAAATCTAATATAAATAAAATAGGTCAAAAGCCTTATATAAAGAAAATTAAGCATCAATCCATGGTTTTTACTAGCTGGTGACTGTGAGAAATTAAACAGCAAAATCAATTACATTAGTGTTATTCACCAAACCCCTGGCACAGCTCACCCCGGGGCAGAGGGGTCTTTGATGATAATTAACTCTCAGTCAGTCAGCGGTGAGGGAGCGATAATCAATAACTGCCATCTCCAGATAACCAGAAAATTGCTCCTGGGATCACAGGTTCAGGGTAACGTGGAGTTAACAGTGGAGGGGAAACTACTCGGTTTCTTTCAGGTGAACGCGTGCTCATCCCGTGGGTGGAAAACAGCAAAGCAGAGATAGATTGGTCATCCTCAGGAAGAACAGGAAACCAGGCAGTGAGGTGGACCCCACGTGACGTCCACGCTCTATTTTTTTTTTTTTTTTAAATATTCTTGTAGTATCTGCTTCCTTTGCAGTAGGAGGACAAACATCACTCCCGGACATCCCCTGCCCACCTCCATCCTCCACCCCACACAGGGATGATGACAGGGTTTTGTTCTTTCCTCTGCCTTAGGCCTGTGCAGGATAGACTGAATATTAGTTTATTTGTGTCAGGGACAGGAACGGAAAGGTTAATAAGTAAAACATTTGTTGTTGCCATTAAAGTTTTTTTTTTTCTCTTCAGTAGGAATAAAACAGACAGAGATGGAATTATTGCTGGACTCCAGATGAACTTTCTTATGGGGTCAGAGAGCGTGGACACTTGTGAGGCAGCCAGAGCATGAGGTAATAGCTGGACACCTGTGGGTTCTGTGTATCAACAGGTGGTACGTGATTTTTCCAAGAGGTTTGTCATGAGTGGAACCTGTGGGTTCACAACACAACGCCGGACTTACTGACTACAAGAGACTCAATAACTTCTTCAAGCCAGTGTGGGCCACCACCCTCTGTGATTAAGGGCAGAACTAGTCTGGGGCCTGAGGCGGGGCTAGGGGACAGAAAGGAGACATAGCAATGTCAAGTCAAAAGGACATGGGGACAGAGGTTAGAAACCAGAGGCTGCAGTGCCTCTCCGAGAGCTGCTACAATGCTCTGGAAGAGAGAAGGAATACGTTACAACACAGACCTTCATGAGCGTGAGCAGACCACAGATTTGTTCACTACATTTGGCCTCAGTAAAGACTGCATGCCTCCCTTGGTCCCCACTCATCTGCTCCCCTTCTAAGTCTGTATAAGAATATCCTTTGGTCTTCAGCCTTTAAGCATAGTTGCCCAGGTGGTTCATCCACGGGGTAGATTTAATAATGCTTGTCTGTGCCTCGTGAATCCTCAACATGTATGCTTCTATCAGTATGCCTTCCTTGGACTAAATTTTGAAGCATACAAATTTGATCTACTGCTCAATTAGCATATAAATACAATAAACAATCACCAGTTTGATGTGCTTAGGCTAAAGAAGTCACTAATACTAACAAACTATAAAATGTCAGTGAGATTCATTAACCCATTCTTTTTGTAGTGATATCAATGGGATTGAAAAGTTAATCTGTTGATGAAAAAAATAATAAATATCACTTCTAATTCTTAATGTGAAAGTAGCTTCCTTATTCCTCTTTAAAACGTTTGCAATGATCCCATTATTACTGAGTATAGCAAAACAGTGTGAACAAAGATGTGCAAACATGCAGGTGCCTGGATATGGAAAAATAGTCCAGTAAAGCATAGAGTATCAATAAAGTGGAGTATATAGACATTATCAAAAAATGATAGTTGCAGCCTGGCATAGTGGTGCATGTCTTTAATCTCAGCACGTGGGAGGCAGAGGCAGGAGGATCTCTGTGAGTTTGGCATCACATAGGAGTTCCAGGAAATAGCAAGTCTACACAGCAAATTCCAAAACAGCCGGGACCACAGAGAGAGACCCCGCCCCAAACAAAACAAAAAGTTAATGAGGGCCGAAAAGGTGGCACAGTGGTTAAGAGGAGAGGACACAGGGCCAGTTCCCAGCACCTGCACTGGGCAGCTTATAACTGCCTGTAAGTCCAGTTCCAGGAAATCTCACACTCTCTTCCAGTCTTCAAAGATACCTGCACACACAGGGTGCATATACACTTGAGCATATACACACATATACATAAAATAAATCTTTTAAAAATAGTTACAAACTGTAATGGAAAAAATATTGCTTAGCTTATATTGAGACAGTGGTTAACAAAAGAACATGCAATGTTTTCAACCATGTGTTCCTGAAGCTCAGCGAAGAATTGAAAGAAATAAGTGCAAAAAGAAGTGAGGAGCGTACTAAATGATGCCATGAACGTGGCTTAGAGGTGAGCAATGAGGAAATAGGATGCATCGTGTGGAAATAAGTAAAGGAAATGAATGAGTGCCGAGCAAAGCTTCAAACCCCATTAATAACTGTCATTGATGATTAAAGATAACAGCTATACCAAGACTATCTGGAGAAGAAGGCCTCTTTCTGCAGTGAATGGAAACACCCCATCTCAACTTAGTAAAGGAAAGAGAAAGCCAGGATGTTGTGAGAAGTTCTAAGAGAGTACACAAAATGACTCAAATCTAATGAGGGACCTATCACTGAAAAACATGGCTGAAGATGAGAAAATCAGTGATGTGGAGTCGGACGTGGTGCACGCTTGTAACTCTGGTACTTGCAAGATGGGGAAAGCAAGATTATGGTGACTTAGAGGCCAGCCTGGGGGATACAGCAAGAGCCTGACCCCCCCCCACACACACACACATACACACATCCAAAATAAATGCGTGTGTATGTATGACACGAGGCACCCTGTTTGACACACTCGTGGGAGTCAAAGGGAAGAAGACAGAAGACCCAGCTCTTCAAGTTCCCAACCCCAGTGCCCACCTGGAAATTCATAGGTAGCTTTATAAACTACAGAAGTGAAACTAGAGAACAAACCAGAGCATGCAAATCAATGGCAGATAAAACAAAACAAAATGGGGCAGGCAGTGCACAGAGAACAGAGGAACCGGCAGTTACCAAGCAGCCTCACACTTAGTGCTTTACATCACGCTTAGTGCTTTACGTCACGCTTAGTGCTTTACGTCACTCTTAGTGCTTTACGTCACTCTTAGTGCTTTACGTCACACTTAGTGCTTTACGAGGCCTTCTTCCCTCAGCCCCTCAGGACAGTTCTCACGTTTCTCCATCAAGCTCCTGCCTTCTTCCTTCTCCTGAAAGATCAACCATTCCACTGATGCATCTTAGGAACATTCGATATTCTTCATGCCTTACCCCTTCCAGCGGCTGCATGCCTCTAGTCTGTCCTTCAAGCTCTCTGATGGCCTGCTGTGGTCCTGTCATGTCCCCGGACTCCTCCACCCTCACCATCTGGCTCACCTGCTGCCATCCCTTTTAAACAGCTTTCTCCAGTTACCAGAGGCATCCATGTGGGCAACAATAGTGGCGTGCTTTGCATTCTTGGCCTCACATGAATGTCATTGAGACACTTCCACTTCTGAGACTCAGGCTTACAGTTCCCTGTCTAACAGGGGACATCTCATAATATCTTGAAACCACCTCTGTTCCACATTCTTTCTTTCGATAATGTTCACATACATAAATGTGAATTGTTAAGAAAACTACTGTGAACAAGCACAGTGGTGCACACCTTATCCCAGCACTAGGAGACAGATCTCTGAGTTCGAGGCCAGGCTGGTCTACAGAGTGACTTCCAGGACATTCAGAGCTGCATAGTGAGATCCTATCTTGAATACAGCCAAAATAATAAAAGAATAAGAAAAAACTACTCTGAAATGAAAAATAAGATAAAAATATACATTAAAAATCAAAGAGGAGGGACTGGAGAGATGTCTCAGAGGTTAAGAACACTGGCTTCTCTTCCAGAGGACCCAGGTTCAATTCTCAGCACCCATATGGTGGCTCACAACTGTCTGTCACTCCAGTTCCAGGGAATCTGACATCCTCACACAGACATACATGCAAATGAAACACCAATGCACATTAAATAAAAATAAATAAATTTAAATAAAACTAAAAAGATTCTATTCTGAGATAGACTTGCAGGTGATAACCTTTTGTCCCAATTAGTTTTTATTTAGATTTACTCTATTATTTTATATGTATGAGTATTTTTCCTGCATAAGTATGTACACTACTTGTGTGCCTAGTGCCCAAGAAGGTCAGAATAGGACATCAGATGCCCTGGGAATGGAATCACAGATGGGTATGAGCACCATGTGGGTGCTAGGAATTGAAGCCAGGTCCTCTGCAAGAGCATAAAGTTCTCGTAGCCACTGAGCATCTCTCCAGTCCTTTTTTTTTTGGTTTTTCGAGACAGGGTTTCTCTGTGTAGCATTGCGCCTTTCCTGGGACTCACTTGGTAGTCCAGGCTGGCCTCGAACTCATAGAGATCCGCCTGCCTCTGCCTCCCCAGTGCTGGGATTAAAGGCGTGTGCCACCACTGCCCGGCTCCAGTCTTTTTTTGGCTTCAATTTAAAGAATATAAACTATTCTGAGAACATAAATTATGGCTCTTGTTTGTACCAGATGACCCCAGACTTCAATTTTTAGACATAAACCTAGAAAAAAACATCTTAGCTCTGAACCATTTATAATTAATTTTTTATTGAAATAGAAATTCATATAACATTCAGTTAGCCATTGGAAGTTATTTGTTCAGTGATGTTTAGTACGTCCATAATATTGTATAGCCACCATATCTCTCTCTAGTTCCCAAATGTTTTTTTTACCCCAGAACATCCTGTGGTCTTTAAAGTAATCACTCCCTATTTCTTCTCCCCATCTCCTGGAACCCCAAAATCTGTTTTAAGTTCAAATGGAGCATATTGGACATGTAGATGGCATTGTAATTGTATCCTTTAGGGTAAACTACGGGTCCAGCTCCAGTTGGATGAGTGAGCATTTAATATCCTTGGAGCTCTGATCTGTAATCACTTCTTAATCTTCCTTTCCCCCACCTCCCAGGTCACATGGCAAGCAGGGCTCATGTCTGAGCTGTTCGTCACTGGGTATGATGCATGCTTTATAGTGAATGGCACATTGTATGCTCCATATTTGTGAGATTCACTTAGAATTAATTCAACCCAGAAGCTGAGTAATCCAGCTAAGAGCACACAACTCATAAATCATGAGTCACAATTCAAGCTTCAATCCCTCCCTTAGCATCCTGAGCAAAATATGAGAGCTTGTTTGAAAGGTGTGGCATTGTTTAATCTTGCTAAGAACCCTATAAGATAAATGCTATTATTAGACCATAAAGTTGAGGTGGGAGGTGGAGATGCTTATATCCAATCCAAGAAATAACAAGAAATCAAGATGAGGCCTTGCAGTCCAGTACTTATTTAGTCAAATTATTAAAAATTACCATCATTTCATTGCATTAGTTACAGCTTTTAGGAAGAGAAATCAGAAAGAGTGTGGGACTTAGAGAGGGCAGAGGACACCAAGAAAACAGGGCCCTCTAAATCAACCTGAGCAAAGCTCATGTGAACTCACAGAGGCTGAAGCAGCATGCACAGGTCCGCAGCGGTCTGCACTGGGCCTTCAGTGTGTATATGATGGCTTCCACATTTAGTGTTTTTACGGGATTCCTGAGTGTGTAAATGAGTGGGTCTCCGATTCTTGTGCCTTCTCTTAGGTTCTTTTTCTGCTGTTGGTGTGATAGTTTTTGTTTTATCTTATTATATTTTATTTTGTTATATTTTTTAAATAAATAAAAATACAGGTGAATATTCCCTATAAAAATATTTCTAAAATACATGGAATTGGCTAGCCATAATGGAACACTCCTATGATTTGGCTTGAAAGGTGAGGGGAAGAGGGTCAGGAGTTCAAGGTTATTCTCACTTACATAGCAAGATTGAGGCCAGGCCACCTGGACTACAAGAGACCCTGTCTGGAATGAGCGAATGAATGGATGAATGAAATACATGGAGTTGAGTTTGTTTTCAGTGCCTTTGTTGTCTCAACCCATATAGGAACAGTGATCGTACATGTAGAGTTCTTATGAATTGAGTAGGTAGTAGACATTTAAAATTCTACTATAGAGACCAGCAAGATGTCATGGTAAGGGCCCTTGCCCTCAAACCTGATGACCTAAGTCTGATGTCTTCATTCTGCGTGGTATGAGGAGAGCTCTAGTTCTATGTGGTGGAAAGAGAGAATGAACTCCTGTAAGCTATCTTTTGAGCTCTACTCGTGAGTCATGGTATGTGTGTTTCCAAATGTACAACTACACATACACACTAAATAAAAAAAAAAACCCTCTAAACTCTCTCCTGGGGATTGGAGATGCAGCTCAATAGCAGAGCATTTTATTAGTGTGCATGAGGCCAGAAATTCAATTCTTAGCACTGCAATATATAATAATATATACATAAATTACATACATACATACATACATACATACATATGTATATGGGTATGTGTGACTACCTGTAATTTTTGTCTTGACCATGATCTCCCTCATCATCATCAACAAACACTACTAACATCTAGATAGAACTTGAAATTTATAAATTATTTCTCCATGTACTTTCTTGCTGTATAGTTACCGTAATATCCCTGTTTGATTTTTGTTCAGCTGTTTGGTTTTTCAAGACAGGGTTTCTCTGTGTAGCTCTGGCTGTCCTGGAACTCACTCTAGACCAGGCTGGCCTTGAACTCACAAAAGATTTGCCTGCCTCTGCCTCCCTGAGTGCTGGAATTAAAGGTGTGTGCCCCCACCACCTGGCAACATGCCCGTTTTATAGAAAAGGAAATGAGGCATCATGAGGGCTAAATGGTCTGCATGGGATCTCACAGCTAGTTGAAGTAAATCACTCTCAAATCTGCCAATTCTATGTGTTTTGTTTCCTAGTCTACCATGTTGATATTCCATTTCTTCGGTTGCTGGACACTTGTAGGGCTCTCAGTTGGCCTCACTTAGAAAATAGTAAATCAAACCTTAGAGAACCCAACTTCCCTAAGCTCTAAAAGACCAATCCATGAGAGCAGACTTAAGCTGAGAAGGGTTCTCCTCACTCATGTCACATCTGAGTGCTCTTTGAAAAGTGGTACCAAACATTAAGAACATGCTTTCAAAGAATTAGCACTGCATTCAAATTCAAGGAGAGAGAGAGAAACAAAACAAAATAAAAACAAAGAAAATGTCTTCTCGGCACTACAACTAGTGACATGGCAACCTCTCTCCATTTACTGATGTTTAAATTTTTATTTGAAAACATGAACAAATTCTCAAAAGGAAACAAGCCTAAGAAGAAGGGAGTGGGGGAATATGTTACCTTCTGTTTTGTTATTATATTGAAATGTCCAAAGCTGGGTACGTTTTTAAAGAAAGGAGGTTTATTAAGCTCATAGTTCTAAAGACTCCATAGCACAGTGAGTTCCTCTGTAGTCAACTTCCATCTTGGAGGGAAGCTCATGAAGACATAATATGTTCTAAGGGAAGATGCAATGTGCTGTCTTGCAGCAAAGTCATGAAGTTCAGGAAGTAAACAACTCAAAAGCTCCAGGAAATCCCTAAAACTGACCAGATTCACTGGATTCCTCCCTCTGCCAAACACATATAAGCAGTAAGGACTGCTGAGAGACACTTAGAGAAGCTGAGATGTCTGGAAGAAGCAGAGTCCAGCTAAGCTCGATGAAAGAGGCACAGGCCAGTTTAACTACCTGTAAAGAATACTCTCCAATCTCCAGTCTCACAACTGTCTAAGGTTGTGCAGTGTCCTCCAGGATTCCAATTTTCATGATCTTGCACCCATGCTGGGGTAGACTTTGGTGATGCAGCTGTCTTGGAGTTACTTCTGCCTCTGTAAGTAATCCCAATAAAACACCCTGGTTCACCAATTGGACTTTGATGATATCCTCACTTTGGTCTGTGCTGGTTCCCTATCTGGGGATGGGAGGTAATATGTTTGTTCGTTTCTTCCCAAGTTTGAGCACTGTCAAACACACCACAGCTCTGGCTTCAGCTCAGCTCAGCTCTAGTGAGGTCCCCTTGGAAGTCAGTACCAAAATAGTGAGACCATTTCTGAAGAAAGGAGATGGTATCCTAGGATAGGAAGTTATAGAGCAATTTAAGAGCTCAGAGGTTGGCCTTGCTCTTACAATAACCCACTCTCACTAGAACTAACCCAGAGTTCATAAGAACTGTCATAATCCCATCCAAGCACAATACAGTCAATGGCCTAACAGCCTCTCATGAGGTCCTACTTCTTAAAGACCCCACTGCCTTTCCCTGGCTGCAGTGAAGACTAGGCTTCCACCATGTGATTACTGGGGAACAAACTGCATGCAAAACATAGCAATCAGTATATAATATAAGTCAGATCACCATGCTTGACTGACATTTGGATTTGGGGGTTTCCAGTCTTCCAGGCATCATCCTTTAAAGAACAAGCACATACGTGTTCAAGTGAATGGCTGCATGATTGAGAGACCTCAAGTTAAGCTATGGAAGTCAGGGAAGGAGTTAGGTAGGAACTCTTCAGAACCCCTAGGGTAGGGTTGCCATGTCTAGAAAAGAACATCCGTGCAAAGTGTTCAGTGATAGTTGATTTTCTAATAACTGTACTCAATGTCTGGAATGTAATTTTATATGAAAAATATTCATTGCTGATCTGAAATGAAAGTTAACTAGGCAATCTTGTACTTTGTCTGGCCACTCTGCCCTAAGAATAGTCCTGTGTCGAGCTCCAGGGATACTTGCTGTGGATAAAAACTCGAACTGAGTTACTGTGAGCAGGTCTGAATTAAGTCCTTGGGTGTACACATACATCTTTTTAACGTGTTTCATCATCTGCTTGAACCTTTTGTCTTTGATTGAAAGTCACTGTAAACTAATGCTTGAATACCACAGCGTTAATCACAAGCCTCTTGAAGTATTTTCATATTGTGTATAATAAATGCCCATATACTTAGGATTTAAGTAAGAACTACTTACCACAATATTTAGTTAAAATTACAAAGTGAGTACAAATTAAGCCATCATTTTGTTAAGGTTTACATTATAAGTCTGATTTAATTTCCTCATGTTTTTCTATGTATGTTTGTATAACTGTTGTGCTAAGACTTTCACTGATAAAGTATTTCAAATTAGCTGCTAGAAGAAATACATTTAAGGAGTTACAACTGATGTACATTGGGACTAAACACCTACAATCAGAGTTGTTTCTCACCTGAGTCCCTCTTACTGATGTTATGTAACAAATGGTCCTGATTGCTGGCAATAACTCACTTAACAGGCTCGCATTTACACGGTAAGCTCATAAAAATAAAATAATGTACCACTAGTTTTCCTGAAAAGAAGCCAACACGAGATGTGGGCTGGATAAACTCCATGGACATTTTATCACATCTGAAGTTCTCATACGACTGGGAAACACACGTTTGTGAGAGGTGGTGGTGGTGGCATTCAGTGGGGTGAGCGCAAGGAAGGAAACAGGAGTCATCATCTTTATGATCGCCAACCTCCATCCCCCCAGCCATCCAGCACCAGTGTCCTAGAAAACCAAGCCTATCTGTTAGGCAGAGTGTTGGGGCAGGGCAGGGAAGCTGAAAAGCCAGGAGAGTAGCCGTAAGGAGACCCAATGCAGAGACAGACAGGGACCTGGAGTTTTCTTCATTTTTGTCCTTGTGTGACTTGTGGGATGAGTTTGAATTTTCACATTCATTTGACAATGTAATTTACAATCCTGAAATCATCAGCATCTTTTCCCCATTTTTTTTAATTCTGTACGCCCTTCTTATAAAATATCCTAATTTCAGTTCATGGAAGAGTCTAAAGAATTCTCCAGATCTAATTTCATCCCAATACCTCTCCCCAGATCACCTTAATGTGATGTTCTGAGAAATTTGTGGAGCACATTGTTATTGAGAAGAGCAGCGTCTTGGTGGTAAGGTAGCTAATTCCTCTTTTTTGCAACTCAGCGTAAGACTTTTATTTAAAGTTTGAAGAAGAGAACATTCACATTGTTCATCTTGGGAGCTTCAACAGGTTAGCTCAAGGCATGGGCAAATCATGAGTTCACATGGGAAACCTCAGGGAGTCACTTAGAATGAAGCCTGAGCTCTACTCTTAATACTCTTATCCTGTCTTAAGATGTGCCCTGCTCATGATAAATAGCAACTTTGAGAACTTTGTATAGTATTCTTTCCCCAAGACCTGCTCAAGACAGACAATGGGTTTATGGGTAAGTAAGAAAAATCCAGGGCTCATCCGTCTTCGGCTTAGAGCTTCTCCATCCAGTCAAATTCTGTATCCCATGTTAATGTAGCCAAGCACTTCCAAATGCCTCAGGAAACAGTCTGTGAAGGAGGGATTTGATTTTAAAACTTAACAATATTTAATATGATGCTTTTTATAGATAACATTCAAGTGGTTGAAAAGCTAAAATGGCCTGCCCCTCCCTGGGATTCCTAAGCAGCCAACAGTTCCCCTCAGGATTCATAAGCAGTTACTGGTTTCTGAGGAGAGGGATACATTTTCTTCAGTGGTGTAGCCACAGTAAGTTGCTCATGTTCCATCACCCATAATCCTGTTAGCAACCAGAATGAAAAATATGGGGGTGGAGAGAGAGAGAGAGAGAGAGAGAGAGAGAGAGAGAGAGAGAGGTGGGGTGCAGACTAGTTGGGGCAGAAGGAAGGCGGTCAGTGAAAATGGAGGGGAGCCAAAAGAGAGTGAATATAGCAAACATGAAAACACATTATGTATAGTTAATGTATGATAATAAAAATATACCCACGTTAGAAGAGGAAAATGATAAAATTAAAATAACACAAAGAGATAAAGGTTGAAAGGTTACATTTAACCCCTCACTCAAATGCCCACTGTAAGCTAGCTCTTACTGTGTTTTTTTTTTTTTCTGGCGGGGGGAGCGTGGGAGGCCTTCCAATGTTTTTATATGTAGTCACATGTCATTTAATGATAGGGATTATTTCTGAGAAATGTATCACTAAGCAATTTTGCCTCCAAGTGAACCATATAAAGTGTTCTTGCTCAGACTAACTTGACAAGTCCCCTTAAGGCAGGCAGAAAATGAGATGAACATGAAAGCCACTTCTAGAGTGAAATGGAAACCTGTTTTATAGCACACTCTTTCTTACTAAGGAGGAAAAAGTCTAGCATAGCAAATACATAATCATATCAACGATATCCAGTATTACACATTATACGTCATATAGCTGTCAGCACAGTAGGTCTGTCTACACCAATGTGATTACAAGCGTGTGAGTTACTGTGCCATAATGGAGAAGATGTCTCTAGGCTGTAGGAACTTTCCAACTCCATGGTAATCTATGGGACTGCCACCATATCTTTTTTAAATAACAACCCATCATTAACTGAATCACCTTCAGCATAGGCCTATAAATATGAATAGGCATTAATACACATTATTTCACAGGTTTTTTTTTTCTACAGAAGAAAGCATACATTATACATGTTACCTTGTTTGCTTTTTTTGTTTTTGTTTTGAGACATGTTTTCTCTGTGTAGCCTTGCCTGTCCTGGAACTCGTTCTGTAGATCAGGCTGGCCTCAAACTCACAGAGATTCACTTGACTCTGGCTCTGAATGCTGGGATTAAAGATGTGCGCCACCACCACCCGGCCACCCGGCCACCCGGCCACCCGGCCCATTGTTTGTTTTTATCATGTGAAACTTATCCTGGGTCACTCAGTGCTATTCCCTGGAGAGTATCTCCTAATTGACCGATTGTCCTTGTCAATAATCAAAAGGTCCCTTAACTCTTACTGTACATACAATGCTGCATTGAGTCTGCCTTTTGTTCATGCACAGGTACAGCTGTAGGGTGTTTCCAGAATTGAGAGGTCATAGAATTTTAATTTGGATATTTTTAACACTTACCAAAGAGTGGCCTACATCTGGTTATTTGGTTACTGCTGTCTGTCTCCGTGTGATTTTATAAGCTTCTGGAGCAGTAGTTCTCAATCTTCCCAATGCTGAGACCCTTTAATACAGTTCCTCATGTTGTGGTGACCCCCAACCATAAAATTATTTTTGTTGCTAGTTCATGACTATAATTTTGCTCCTGTTATGAATCATAATGTGAATATCTGTTTTCTGGTGGTCTTAAGGGACCCCTGTGAAAGGGTCGTTCGACCTCCGAAGGGACAGAGACCCACAGTTTTCACCGTAGTGCCTATTATGTTAATGCTGAATACAAACTAGATGTCCTACTATAAATATAATTTCCACAAGACTGGCATAACCCTTAAACTTAGCGGCTAGGTTCAGGTGCGGATTGGGGGCATTTCTGAGTTTATATTTCAAGATGAAAACAGGCCTGATAGAGATGAAAGTCCTGGATAAGGAGTGGCGGTTTCAAGGATAAGGCTAACTCTTCAATCCAGGGACCGGGTCAATGTCAGGTAAGCCTCTAGGTTAATTATACACCAAGGCTGAATGACAAGGTGGAGAGGAAACCTAGAGAACTCCTTCCTGATGAAGCCATGGAGACTGAGAAGAGCACACACTTGGAATTCAAGCCGAGGAGGAGGGAAAACGTGAATGCACCCTTAAAGCAGAACCTGTACAGAGATAGACAGAGGAAGAAGGGGAGAGGAGGGGACGGCCAGCATGGCTCTAATTTAGCTTCTCCCACGGATCCTCATGGAAGCTCCGGTTTTGCGCCACAGCTCCCACACTTAGGGAAGTTGCTAGTGAAAGGCCTAGGTAAGACAGACCTAACTACTATGCTTCACCCACTCCCTCCAAGAGGAGCATCCCCCCACAGCTCTAGAGGCTCGACCCTAGCAAGGAGGCTGTAACGAATGTTTCTCTTTCTACAAGGTCGTCATCAGTCATTGCAGAAGCCAATGAACTATGTTTAGCCAACTTTGAAAAAATAGCAGGGCAGACAGAGGCATCCCATGTGCAAATCTCATCTCAGCTCTTGCTAAAATCCCTCAGATGCTGCCAGAGAAAGGTGAACCGGTACAACTTCTTTGGTTGTATCAATAAGGGGTAGGGATAACACTTAAAAATTGCAAATGTGTTTTTATCTAGTGATTCCACTTCAAGGAATTAATTCTGTTGGTACACTTATAAAAGTACACATAGTGTGCATGTTTACTGAAGCATAATTTTGAGAGGCAAAAATTAAATAAAATAACTTTCCATCAGTACGTTAATGGCTTTTTTTTTTAATTCATAATGCCATCTTATATAGCATCTTTCACAGCTACTAGAAGAACGAGGCAAACCTCATTGTGTAGAATGGGGAGCAATAGACAACATCATTGAAAAGTGAATAAAAATCAGTCGACTTAAAACAGCCAATGTAGTGTACAATTTTAGTATTTAAAAGAAAGCATGCTTACATGGGAATGAAAAAGTTACCTGTTTAAAAATAACCTCTGTAAGAGGTTATTACTAATGGTCATCATTGAGGAACAGGCCTGAGGGAACGAGAGAACACATGGGGTAGTTCTTACTTTAGATGCTTTACATATTGTTTTTGTAGTCACAAAGTTCACTTACACAGGCTATTATTTCTTGAGTTCCTTTGGTGTTTAAGTTATGTGGTGTTTGGTGATCATGTCTGACCCAAAAGAATCATCACTTTCAAAAACTCTATTTAACAGAGGTTCATTATGGCTGAGAAAACAGCTATGGCTAACCTTAACTGAGGTTCACAGAACTGATTTTAACTTTGTGGGTCTATTTTCCCCCCATCCAGCACACGCAGAAAACTTAGTAAAATGTCATGTGGTTATAAAACTGTGTGGTGAGTCTTCACACTCTTCACCAGATTGTGTAACTTTAGTATCACCCTTTAATTCCCATATACTTCCATTTCTTACTTACCTGGGCACATATTTTTGGTTTTTGTTTGTTTGGGGTTTTGTTTTGTTTTTTGAGATGGGGGTTTCTCTGTGTTGCCCTGGCTGTCCTCAAACTCACAGAGATCCACCTACCTCTTGCCTCCTGAGTGCTGGGATTAAAGGTGTGCACACACCATGACTCAGCTCACCAGGGTACATCTTTTAAAAACATGTTTTAGTTCTTCTGTTGTTTCCTGCCAAGTCTCCAAAGCAATTTACTTAAAATAATAGAAGAAATGTGTCATATTTTGCAAGGTCAGGGAGAAGTGACCAAGAAAAGACAATTCCACCGTATGCAAATACCTGCTTTGCTGAAGAAGAGCATGCTCCAAGTAGACTGATTCTGATGTAGACTTTTACATCCTGATAACTGGAGCTATTCAATTCATCCTTGTCCTGTATCTTGAGACAAAAGAGGGAGGAGGAAGAGGGAAAGGGAGAGAAAGAGAGAGGGGGGAGGATGAGAAAATGACAAGGCACAAAAACACACGTGGCCAGTACAATGGGCTCAACATATGTTCTCTTGGGGGCAAGGCTTTAATGAAAAAGTTCAAATGTAGCAGAATATTGTTTGGGGCATCAAGGTGCAGGTCACCTACTTGTTGCTAAGATGATGACATCTTTGCCTGTATTTTAACAAAATTTCAGGGTTGGAGAGTTTTAGCAAATTTACTTTCTGCAGTATGAAAAACATCATAGAGAGTGCAGCGTTTATTTAATTTTCTTGGTGGATTGTGACTCTTCAGTGTGGAAGAGTATTTTGTGTTTATAAATGTAGAGAAGCCTACATTCATATAGTAAGCTGGTGTCTTCATTAAAAGACAACTGATTAAAAGTGGTACATACTTCTAATCTCAGCACTCAGAAAACAGAGGCAGGTGTATCTATGAGTTCAAAGTCAGCCTAGTTGACAGACTGAATTCTAGGACAGCCAAGGCTACACTGAGAAACTCTGTCTCAAAAAACAAAAACAAACCAAAAAAAAGATATAGGCATGTCAAGCATGGAAACAATTTATCTCACTGTAGTTATAGCCAGGTCTAGCTCATGGATGTGAACCAAGCCTTCAATTCATAAATAACCTTAAGCTTTTCCTGGTGAGCTTTGAAGATCAGTGCTGCAGGCTTAGAGAGCTGCTACTCTGCAACTGAGTGCTCAGGCCCAGTGATCACTGGGATAAAGCAAAAGGGGTTAAAAAAATCAGCAAATCAAGAAGAAGGAATAGGAACTAATGCAAAACAAGGAAACACAGTAATAGCCTAGATTTCCTACTTCATTTAATACCCAAATATTCAAGTTCTGCAGTTTAAAAAAAGGAACACAACTTGCCAAGAAAAGTTGCTTCTTCAAAATGGACAGGTTGGAAGCCCACTTGGCAATTCAGTCTCAAGCGTATGTGCTGGTGTGACTTTGAGTTTGAAAACACTGTCCTCCAATATTTAGATCTGAGTTCTTAGAAATAAACGATCTCAAGCAAGTAAAGAAAGCCCAAAGGCACATTGACACTGATGGTTCCAATGGCATATGGGTGAGAGCACATATTTTATTTTACTCCATTCTCTAGAAAGCTTGCACATAAATATACCAAACCAAGCCCACAGGGTTGAGGTAGCTCTTCAGATTTATTTTAGTACAGCCTGTTTTCTTCTTTGAACCACTAATCAACTTTATTAGGCGCCATTTCTACAATTCGAGTCTATTTGTACCAATGTCTTAGCATCCTCGTGTCCTCTCATCAGAATACTGGTTAGGCTCCCTAGTGTGAAACATTTATCCAGTTGCTTGCCTGATTACTCACATGTTTTTGAGATTTGTGAAATGTGGCAGATAAACAGGTTTATGCTGCGTGCAACTTGGAGGGCAGCCAATGTCTGCCTGCCTATACAGCGTATTTACTCTCCTTCCCTGAATCTCTCCCATACAGAGAAGCTGTATTTTAAGACTAAAATCAGTGTAGATCGCAATCCAGTAATGTCACTGCAGAAAACAGCAGGTGCCCATCCACTCATTTGCAGTGATTCTTGCAGTGAAGAAAGTGAATCAATGATTCACTCAACAGACAAAGAAACGTCGCAGTGAACATGTGGGGGAAAAAAATCAAATGAGGGGAAAGTAACACTTTTCTCGAGAGGTGTGCCCTGATTTTAAACAGCAAAGCCTCTCGCGAGAAAATTAGGAATGTTTTCAAAGTGTTCCTGCCGCACCTCAGAAAGCTACGGCACGCTCTCTCTCTCCCTGCGTCTGCTGTTTTATTGCTTTTGTGTTGTACTTCTAAAATAAATATCAATAAATCATTGCAGTTAGATACTCTAATATAGACAGAAATGTACTTGACTCCCTACAGTCATTACAATTGGAGGGGACTCTGATTAGGACGCTTTACTTAATTAAGTGACATCGTCTAAAGAGAGTTCTTCCCCCCATTCTCTGTCTAACAGTCTTGTAAAACACCAACAGAGGAAATTCATTCTGTTGTTTGCTTTCTTTATTGTAAATGGTTTCTTCTCATTCATATTTTACAGATGTGGTGTTAATGAAATGGCTAATAAGCCAAAGACTGCTATTCAGCTGCAGCCCTATTTCAGTCAGCCCAAGCTTCATAGACTAGAGACATTGTCTCTTCTGTCCCAGAAAAGTACATGTGTGTATATATACATATATATGTATATATACATATATGTATACATATGGAAGCATATGTAAACTACAATTATTTTGATTTAAAAGAAAAATTTCCAAAATAGCCAGACTTCTTCTAGTTTATATGTATGGTTCAGCAGAAACATTTAAAATCTCTTTCTTTGGGAAAACAGAAAAAAAATTGGGTGACGAATAAGGGATCCTTTTGCATTAGATGTTATTTGTAAGGCATTTTGCCTTTACTGAAAGAAGTCATTAAATTTGGATTGCCAATACAAATATGATTATATATGTTTTCTAAATAAAATGTTGTTATGTTGCAACTGAACTCATCCATTTATTGTTTGTTTACCTAATGCTCAAACTGCATGTTTTATTCATAGATGTCTGGGAGAAAAAAATTTTGCTTGATAATCACACCAAGCATATTTAACAAAAGCGATTCTCCTTTTATTAGTGAGCAGGTTTAAGCAGAATGATTTCATTTTTTCCCCATTTTGTTAATTCAGACTCGCAGGATCCTTAGCGGAGAGCTTTTGTTTCTCTCCCCGCTGCCTTTTATACCTTTAATGTATGCATGCCTATCCACTGATGGGAAAATATCATTTCCTGAAACTCCTCCTTGTTCCTTCTTGGCTATTCTCTCCATGGATTTCTCATTTTGCTTAGTGTTCGATAGTTAATTTTGCCAACTCGCTTTATATACAAGATAGATCAAGTGAAGGCAAGTGAGGAACTCGTGGTCCTGTTGAGGGCTTTGAATTTCCTTTCATTAGAGTAAATTTGGATCCTAAGTACATTTATTTACTCGTCCCTTTAAAATAATACATAATTATGCTTCTAGAGAGATTAAAAATGTGTAACATAAAGTAGTAAAGGAAGTGAATATTTATCAGCATCGTGGTATTGTTCTCAATCCTGAGCTCTTTTAATAAAAAATGTTTGCAACTTTAGCAAATTAACAATAGCTTTGCAGCTAAACCAGCACTTTAAAAGCAGTGTTAAATGTCAAAACTTTGTTAAATGAACTCAACTAGCTTGCCACAGACTAACTTCACCTTGATACAATATACAGCTAAAAACTTTGCTGATCTGCAAAATTTAAATGCATATAGGTCTCAAGATACATGACTGGGTATTAATGTATCACATGTAAGAGGCTTTTAAATTAATTGCTTAACTATTTAAAGAATATTTTGTGATATTGATAAGAATCTGCATTGTTTTATATTCATTCCATACAGGTTGGTTATTTTTAAAATCAAATAACAGTCATCATAACAATGCACTTGCTTTAAGTCTGTTTATACGCTTTTGCTTTGATGGCATACCATCTACATAGGCCCACTGCCTGAAGACAATCTAAAATATATAATTTTTCCTAATTCCCCAAGTTAAGAAAGCCAAAGAAACAATAAAATAATTTGATCCTGGACTTGCAAGTCCCAGAAGTTGCTTGTAACAGCTTTACTATTTTTCCAAAGGTGCCATTTATTAAAGACCAGCATTACATGAGTTCCAAAGTTATGAAACTTCAGTGTCTTCCTAATATTGTAATCTGGATCATTTTTTAAGGTTCAGTTAACTTACCATCTGTTAAGCAAAGGTCTTTTCTTCAAGCTCTCCAGTTTAAAAGGCGCTCTTGTCCTGACGTGAAGCGGAGGGCATTCCCACCCCTTGAGAAAATTTTTGAGGAACCAAATCACATAAAGTCAATCTGATAGAGATTTTATTCCACCCACCCCCACGTTTGTTTACTTCTTTAAAATTATTTTTAAACCAATTCACTCCCCCACCCACTCACCCAGGACTTGAAGCTGAATGAGAACTGTGTCTAATGAATACCACTGAGGTTAGAGTCGAAACCGAATCATTATCTGGCAGAAGAATGTGAACCCTGTTTCGGCTGAACCAATTATTTTTATCAAATGACTTTTCTACTTAAATTGTTTGCTTTAAAAATGCCATTTTTTAAAGGTAAGCAGAGTTTTCGTAATGCATGTTTTAGACCACGATTACTCCAAATTCCTACAAATCAATGTGTGGGCAACAGAGCAAACTTCGGGCTGATACTTACAGAAACGGCTGTCTGGGAAAGCAGCTAACATTTACAGCCAGCCCTGCAGGACAAATGCAGCCGTCTTGAGTTAAATACAAGTGTTACTGTGTCGTTAATAGGAGAAGGAAATCATATCCCAACATACCTTTATGTTATTATGTGTGAAATGATTATCCAAACTAAAATATTTGTCCTGAGGCTGGTGATCTGAAGGGTAGGTTTGCTAAGGGTCACAGATGCACCCTCTCGCCGAGCTGGAGAGTAAATCTGTGCAAAGAGGAGAAACAGTTTAATGCTAGGCAGAGGATGGTTCTCAAAACTTGTTTTCTTTCTGCAGGCATATGAGTTTTCAAGAAAGGGAATATTTAGCAAAGGCCTTTTTCTTTCCCCGCTTTTTTTTTTAATTTATTTATTTATTGTTGAGATGGGTTTGGCGAGGAAGAGGGAAAAAGCCACATCTTGTATGAAGTAAGAGGAGACAATATGCAGACCAGAAAAAAATAAATAAACAAAAGCCAGACAGCTTAGCTTTCCTCCAAAGCGTGTTTCCTTCTACCAGGAGATGGCTGAGGAGTTTGAGAGCGGCTCGTTTGCAAGGACAAGCCATGCTTTGTAAACCCTGGAGACTGGACCATGGACTTCTAACTGAGACATCTCACTGAGAGCAACAGCACCGGTTTTATTGCTGGTGATGCCTCCAAAAAAGGCTGTCTGCTAGCTATTCACAAACTAGCTTTTTAAAGGGGGGCAAACCTTGACAAGAAATGCTTGTCAAAATGTGTGAATATTTTTCATAGGTTATTTTTTAAAATGTTCTGAAGCCCTTCAGTGGCTCAGAATAGTCTGCCTTTCAGGTTGGATGACGAACAGCAAACCAACACCAGATTTTTTTTTTAATGTAGGATACATGGCAAAACTTTAAATACTACTTACAAGAAACACACTGTGAACTTCATAAAAATAGGATAAAAGCAGTATTTTTCCCTAGCAATATTTTTCCTGAGAATAAGAAATCAACCTAAGGCTAAGTTTTTCTGGGTAAAAGCAAGCACTCAACGAGTTGTGAAAACAGGCCAGTGTTAAGTCCTGTGTCTTCCCTTAAGATAGATAGTGTCAATATTATGTAGTTAACTTAGTTCAGTACTGTGTTAATTATGAGAATAGATGTAATGTGATAACTACTTGCAATATAATAATCATTCATAATACCCCTGTATTCAGTGGCTCAGGATAGGCTCAGGGTTTTCCCCCCACAACTACAACAGTCATACAAAACGCATATAATAATTCAAATTCATAATCTAAACTTTATTTTTAAAATCAGTATTTTTCTCATGCTCAAATACGTAGATAAAATTAAAACAAAACTTTGAGTCAGATTCTCCAAAAGCACACCTAAAACAACATTAGAGGATTTTTGTTTTTCAAGATCTTATTTCCAAACCAGTTACTTAAAAAGAATGAAAGAGGGAAGAGAAATTAAAATGTGTCACGGAGTGTAGTGAGTCAAATATGTCCTTCCTGTCCTTTCTGCAACAACACTGTGGGAAATGAGGACCGTGAAGATCAGATGGTGTACTCGTGTGAAAGGTGTCGCAAAGCATCCCGTTGATTGGTTCTAATTAACTACGATGCTCTTGTGTTCTCAGCTTTAGCCGGGACACACTACACAATGCCTTTTATTTGGCTTTCAATGGATTTTTACTTAATAACAGCTGATCACTATATCTGCAGCCTTTTGGGTTCTTTTATTTCCTAGGATTTTCTTGAATATTTTATTTTCCGTTTTGAAAGATACATTTGAAGCTATTTCTATGCCATAAGAAGTAATAAATGTTAACGGTACTCATGTGGTCTTTCACACATATTTTGCATATTTGCATTTGGTGACTATATTCTCAAACCACATTTCGATTTCTCTTTAAAAGTTGTATATCTGGGCAATGGTATAAGGAGGAAGTTCCGAAAGGCAACTGTGAACCGCTAATTTTCTTTTACTTTTTAATCAGTCTACTAAAGAGAACAGAGCCAAAAACAAATCCATGAAACTTGCATGGATTCTTTGCAATGGGAAGGATTCCAGAATTTTAAAATATTAAATGAAATTCTTTGCACTCACCTTTCTCTGATGACTTAATCTGAGACAGGCCTGATGGAGAGAAGTCATGAATTTTCACCAACTTCAAACATGTCATACACTAAAAAACATTTTGATTTGCTCTGGGACCCCTGCATGTCTCTGCAGCCTACTAATGGTTCTGCTGTGATGTTTTGTAGGTACAAACCCCACGGAGCTCCAGGAGCACTAGGAGATACATGAATCAAGTAAACAGCCTTTAAGTGGGAAGGAAAAAGCATTAAGTAACAGGAAGTTTCCAAAGAAATACACAAGTTTAAATAAGGAGCTGTAGTTAGAAGCAGCACACTTTCAGTCATTTCAAGGACCTCAGTTTTTTTTACAATACTACCTTTCCTAAGACCATCAAATTATTTGACCTGAGTCAAACAGAATCATTTTGGACAGGAAAATCCATAACCGAAATATTAGAGCTTAAATTGTCCATTTAGCTGAGTAGGCCTAGGAAGTGATTAAATAGTACTCCTCTTTTTGTTCATCTGAAGATGCAATGTGATTCATGTGAGCAGTAAGCCTGATGCTTCAAAACAACCAGCATCCTCACCCCTGCCTGGGAGAAGGCTACGTGAGTTAAGCGTGGAAAAACAAAAATGAAATTGTACTTAAATGACACCCTGGGTTGGGGGGTTATCTCTGAAATACTTCTATCCCTCTTAAAACTGTAAAAAAAAAATTAAAAATTAAGTAAATAAAAAGTACTAAGATGAAGTAAGAAATGAACATTAGGAGCGATTAGTGGATGAAAAGTTGTGAGTCCGGGGTCCTTTACACTGTGCTCTTCACCTTACAAAGAGGGACAGGGTGGCTCAGGGAGATACAGCAACTTCCTCAAAGTCCTTCAAAGACTAAAAAGTGAGATGGGCAGGCAAGTCAGTTGGCTTCGGGTAGCATTCTTGCTGCAACTATGCTGTCTTTGCTACAGTAATAGAAACACCCACTCAGTTACTTGCCAATCACATAAGTAAAACAATGCATGTATTTTAAAGGTACATGCAGGTCACACTAAAATTAACAACCACTGCAATGTGTGAGAAGTCGTTTCCTTTTTTAAAAAAGAAAAGAATATTTCTCTAGAAAATACCTTTATGCTTTCATTCTTGCCATGCTTCTAGGGCGCAGATCTATTTAATGAAGTGTATTTCTCTTTAGCACCCTTACATCACAACAGCAGCTGTGAAAACTACTGTTACTCACCGGCTCTTATTTTCAATCTATATTTTCTATTCTTCGGACGGCATGGCTTTCCTAGAACGTGCTTCTATGTTCAGATGTTTACAATGACCTTTTGGTCTGGTACACAAGGTAAAATATTAACTTCTTTAAGGTCTTTAACTTTTAACTTGGACCCACCCCTCAGTTTTACTTTCAACACTCCCTTTACAGTTTATGCTCCATAATACAAAGTAGGTATGATTCTCTGGCAATGGCAGGCTTCCCTATCACCTCTGGGCTTTGCGCATACCGTCTCCTCTGCCTAGAATACCTTTTACCTCCATTAGGAGTGAGCTCAGACATCACTTTTCCTCCTCCTGCCAGACAAAGGTACATCTTCCCCTGAGGTACTACTGCGTTTTGGACTTTGAGTGACTCCCTTTTGCACTGAACTGTAATTATCTGTCTAAAAAAGAAAAAAATCCATCTTCTCCCACACAGTGTCTTTGAGATCAAAGACCTACCTTTCTCTCCAAGGTTAGTGTTTTGCCTAGGGTGAGCACTCAATGAATGTTTGCTGACTGAATAAATGAATCAATAAGTAGACTACTGTACTTTATCTCAGCACCTTTGTCTTGGTATCATATCCCTAGTTTTTCCATTATAATCTCTAAACCGGTTATATGTCGACAACAGGATATTTGAAGCAACTTGGTCCGAGCTTCTATCAAATCCTTCCCCAAGAAGACTTTTTAAATCATTCTTTCATGGTAGTGAATTGACTTTGATATCAGGTTTGAAATACCAACACCATACCTTCATGTGAATGAAGAGTGAATTCTTGAGTAAAGAATGGACCACTATTTGTTCTAGACATTGATAAAGAGATTTCCCTTATTTTTTAAAATTTATTTGTTTGTTTGGTTTTAGACAGGGCCTTGAACTCATTATGTAGCTGAGGTTGACCTTGAACTCCTAACCCTCCTTCCTCAGCCTCCCAAGTGCTGAGATTACAGAAATGCACCACCATTTCCACTTCTTACTAGGAATACAGCTTGAAAGACCACTTGAAAGCCATGAAGGCTGTAAACACATATTTAGATATCAACATTACCTTTACACCAAGTGAGTGCTTTAAAAGAGGACTCTCTGGTTTAGAGGAGTGGAATGCAGATATAAGATTTCCTGTTTCTGGGATGCTGTCACTATTACTTTGACTCTATCCAGTCTTGCCCATCTTGATCAATAAACACTGCCTAGATACAAATGACTGCTATGAGAGATTGCTCAGGGAAGCTAGGGATTTCCTCGGTGCATAAACATATTTCCCACTTGAAATGATACTCTCATGTTCATCAATAAATGGTGACATGAAATGATACCCTCATATTCACCCTTCAAAACTGTAAATAATCTTGAGCCAGGCCCTCTAATGAAGAAAGAGGCCATCCAGTAGCCCATTGGGCTGAGAGAAGGCACAGAGTATCTCAGGCTTAAGACCACTTCTACACTCACGATCCCACCCACCACCTCCATTCACTCCACTGACTCCAGTGTGCCCCCAAGCTACATACTAAAATGTGGGGAGTACTCACTGAGGGACAAAAGTTAGGAACACAGTCCAGTGGTCCTCGCTGGGCCACCTTCCTAAATCAGCCCTATGTGGGATTAAGACTAACAATCAGGACTAGTTTTTGAATTCTTTTTTGGGGAGGCCATGCCAATCAGTTTCCAAATCTATTGCATAAGGAGCAATAGTGTTTGTGACTTCCAGTTCTGTTATCACTTCAGAAGAAGGTCGTCTTTAAGATGGTAAAATCTTGGATGATGGATGTTCTCTAGTGGGTTTACATCTGAAATGTAACAAAAGATTAAGGCTTTCAAAGCTGTTTCTTCTTTAAATTCACTGTGTGTTGCATCTGGGATTTCATGCTTGTTTTGAACAAAATAATATCATACCACACCGTCATAATTCAAA